ACTAAACTCATTTCCTGGTTTCATCTTTCAATAGTAAGACACATGTAACCATGAATACAATTAAATAAATGGTAGCATTAAAAACTTACATGTTTAACCCTTCAATTGCGCATCGCATCATATGATGCTTTGACCGACTTGCAGTAAATTGCGCATCGCATCATATGATGCTTTGGAGTACTAAGCAAGATTTAAACGGCCCGCGGATACACGGGGTTCACCACACCTTCATCAGGGCTCTTGTAAACAGACGCCATTTTTTAAAAAAATCGTGGGCCAAACTCCCGGGTGTTAGGGGCCTCAGTATTGAGTGAGCTACCAAGCCTGACGCACGCAGCATGAACTCACAGCACTGCTGTTCAGCTTGTGACCACAGCATCGCCTAAAAATGCCATAATATACTTGTTCATGCTATTATGTAGCGATGATATTATTACAGAAGACCCCTGACTGTGATAAAACTGACCAGGGTTCTGATAATAGCAGGATTGTGGTGATATTTGGCGATGTGCGCCATGGAGGGAGGAGTAATGCTGTGGGAGGGAGGATGGTGGCGTTGTCTTTTGAGTGTGTGTGGCCACCTTTTATTGACTGCACTCACCATACCAGCTTAGTGGTTCGCTATGGTGAACACAAATGTAGATACTTATATATAACGTGTGTATAGTGTGAGATAACAGCGAGAGTAGGAGGTTGGGAGCCGCCATTTTGGTGAGGGAGGAGCGTCGTCTGCAGGACTTGCCATGTTGTTTACTGATGACCACGATGGTCTTTGGGCACCATACGAGTTTACTTGTACTTGAATAAAACAGGTAGATATTTATATATAATGTGTGTATATAGCATAATAACACCACAAACAGTATTGTTGTAGGAGAAATATTAGTGCGTCTGGTCTTGAGGGCGGCCGCCACCAGCTGACTGTGTGAGTAGCTACGTCTTTATGCCTTTACTCACCATACAAGCTTAGATGTACAGTTATGGTGAACAAAACATGTAAATACTTATATATAACTTCTGTATATAAAAGCAAAAACAGTATGGTGGTTGGAGAATGGTGGCAAGTCAGGTGAGGTGAGGTGAGGGAGGGAGTGGCAGCCAGTGGCAGCCAGTCACTGCCTGCCACTGCCACTCAGCATACCAACTTAGTGGTTCGTCATGGTGAACAAAACATGCAGATACTTATATATAACCTGTGTATATAGTGTAATAACCGACAAAGTTAGTTCACTGTTTGATGAACATAATTGAATCAACAATATGCCCACCATATTTTTGAGTACAGAGATGATTCACTCATTTTATTATATAAATATATCACACTACACACTATTGGATAATATTACAGCAAAAAAACTACGAAAAATCAATCGGAGACATTGAAATAATTAGGTAATTATTTCTTTGTGGAAACTCTGGCCCGACAGCTGGCGAGCAACAGACCGCCTGCGACGCACGCTCAGTCAGCGCCTCATTTTTGCCAGAATTCTCCGCCCTATAGTGGGCAATATATGCCACTTACGATTTTTTTATTATTTTTCCCGTGATCAGTGAACATAAATTAACAGGTTAGGAAGAAAAAATAATTTTTTTTTTTTTTTGGTATGCGCCTGTGGGTGTCAAATGGTATATAGCTATGCGCCATTTAAGGGTTAATGAGAAGGCCGATACTGTTTTGTTGACACAAATGTTCAAAACTTTAGATCAATGTCAAACAGATGTAAGCGTAGATCAGGTTCCACATTCATAGTTGTTGTATTTTGATTTTAGTACTGTATAAAACAGTTGGGGAGAACACTCGTCACATAAATATGTAGTGGGAAATGGCATCAAATCTCTCGGTGCTTTGGATGCCAGTCCTGGGAACACAATTTTCACGTGCAACCAAAAGTTTGATATAGGTTTTACTAAATAAAACCTGACCTCAGTGATGTGTCACATGAAAGTTCAACAAGACTCTTTTCTTCACTTGCAGAAAAAGCTGTTAAATTTTACAACTACATAAAATCTATCCCTAATTCACTTGTTATTGGCATAAGGACGATAACATTTTAAACTTGGCTTGCAGACCCCATGACCCCAGGGGTCCACATATGAGAACCCCAGGGGTCCACATATGAGAACCCCAGGGGTCCACATATGAGAACCCCAGGGGTCCACATATGAGAACCCCAGGGGTTCTCAGCCCTGACGGCTGAGTGAACAGCACTCGGGATTAGTAGTCCAAGGGTTTATTTCACCCTGATGCCCCTGTTACCTAGCAGTAAATAGGTACCTGGGAGTTAGACAGTTGCAATGGGCTGCTTCCTGGGGGGGTGTGTGTGAAAAAAAAAAAAGTTGATTGACAGTTAACAGGCAGGCCCCAGAGAGCCAGAGCTCAACCCCTACAAGCACAACTAGGTGAGTACATCACAGGTTGGGAACCACTGATCTAGATGAACATCTTTTCTTCTCGCTGTCTAATGATCATCTTAAACACAATTACTACTGCAAGTTACTGGCAGTTTATGAGCACTTCTAATGTCACTACAGTACTTAATAATTTATTGGTCAGTAATCTGCCATGGCCAAGAAACAGGATCATGCTCAAATTAAAATAAAAAATGACTAAACCAGTCAAATATACATCATTTTGTAAGATATTTCATTCAAATGCATGAAACATGGATAATATGTAGGATAAACTATTACAAATTTAATGTGTAGATAGTTGACTGGAAGTAAATTAGCTAATTTACTTTTACAGTTAGGACCAAAAAATATATATTTGCATAGTAAATTTCCCCGAGTCCCTTCAGTCACACTGGCCAGATAGCAGATCCGTTATTATGCCACTGTGTACTAAAGTTAGTCATGAAGAGAAAATAGGACATCCTGAATGCATTTCTTCACCAGAGTCCAAGCTAGGGTTTTGGATTCTTCCTACCTTCTCACTATAGAAAGTGCTTTATATGCATATTAACACTTTCGCTGCCCCGGAGGGTGACCTGCCACGCACTTCAATGCACCTTAAGATAGGCTGAGCAGTGTACACTAACTCTCAAACACCCACAAATGTTTATACTCTTTTTAGCTTTCTGACCTCAATTTGTGTGTTACGTTGTTCAATTTGGTATCAAATTGTTCACAATAGAATGCTCTAAAGGAATATGGGCATATAAGAACATATAAGTCTCACTTTCATGTACTTTAGACCTGCCACACATTGCAAGGTAGGTCAAGAGCTCACCACCATGCAAAAATGTTTATTCTCTTTTCAGTTTTCACACAAATTTTCGTGCTACACTGTTCAATTTGGTATCAAATTGTTTGGAATATAATGTTGTAAAGGGATATTTGCATATAAGAACATATAAGTCTCACTTCCCTATACTTTAGACCCGCCGTGCACCCCAAGGTAAGCTGAGAGCTCACCACCACACAAATTTTTTTATACTCTTTTTCAGCTTTCTGACCTCAGTTTTTGTGTTATGTTGTTCAAGTTGGTGTCAAATTGTTCGCAACAGAATGCTGTAAAGGAATATTTACATATAAGAACATACAAGTCTCACTTTTCTATACTTTCGACGAAAACCCAACAACTTTTCCCTCGTACGTGTTTCTTTCAAAGTTTTTGTCATGGATTGGCTGCGTTCTTGATCATTATCCATCTGGAAGTCAATTTGCAGTGTTTATAAGCCGGTAACAATAAATACCCGAGATAAAATAAGCAGAATGGTGAAACTTTTTGACTCGAGGGGAGGCCACGGCTGTCACGAGTGAGGTCACAAGGACATGAGTCTCCAGCGTGGGTGAGGGGGGGCCCACACGGCGGGGTCAGGATGCCACGTGGGGTATACAGAGAAAGCGCAGAAGTTGGAGCGCATTCTAAAACAAGTCCCATAGTATTTGGACAATAAATGGAATTTCTACAAATTTTTTAATTATTTACGCCATTTGCGTCATCAGGCATGTTGCGTATTTTGGTTTTATGACATCAACAACGTCATCAGGCAGCGAAAGTGTTAAATTAACTGCACAGTATAACTCAAAGCAAAACAGGAAATTATTGTAATCTTACACTGCATAAATAACACAATATATAATGAACAGAAAACACAGTAATTATTTTATTAGTGAGAAAATCCATTGGAGCTGTAATGAGGATTCGAACCCATGCACTGGGTATTCCCTCATTGAATCCTCATCATGGATCTTATGAATTTTCTCATTGATACATCAGTGTGATTTCTCTGTGTTTTTAAATTAGTGTTAATGAGCAAAAACATGTGAATGAGGCATGGCAAGAATAAGTTGAGTGGTCACCCTGTAAGAAGTTGGTTAACCTTTATCGGTCTAAGGATGAATTCTGACATCCACATAATGGAAAGTTTTTACAATATCAATAACTAAACACAGGTTTAATGAGGGTGACTGAGGAAAACCTCCTTAGTCACCTCTCTTATTCTTCCTTACCTTTTTTTCTCTCACCACTTTCTTCTTCTGTCTTCAAGATGGTGCAAGGATACCCATTACTTGGGCTGGGATTTAGACTTTTAATTTGTCTCAAGTCAGAAACCAACATCTACTGTACATAAGATGGGTATTACCAAAGAAACTGGACAACTCGATCTTTAACACCTTGGCACACTAGATGCAAGAGACTCGATCACAGCACACTATATTGCAATATTTTCATCATCACTGTCTTGCTTTTCACTTTAATGGGGAAGGTAAGAGCACGTCAAGCATAGATACAACAGAATTAAACGAGTGCGAAGATATTCCAAGGTAAGGTAAGGTAATTATCAAGGGAAAGCACCAAGCCATTACGACTATACCCGACTTTTCCTACCTTCTTCCACGCATTGCGAGAAACGAACAATGCTATTCAACAGTGCCCAGAGAGTGCTAACTTACTTAAGAAGCTGCCAATGAATTTCAAAATTATGTAAAAGAATATTTACAGTCAATAAATAACAATATGCCCTTCAATAAGCCAGGATAAGTAAATTAAATTGTAATTATTATAAAAATCTATTTACTGTTTTCCTTTGCAGTTAGCACACTAGCATATTGAGCTTCTTCCTTGTGCATCAGAAAAACGAAAACAAATAAAAAAGTTGTGTCAAAGCTTGATAAACTGGTGGAGCAAGTATTGGACACAAGTTGTCAGTTTCACAAAAATACCAGGAAAAGGATTGTGATCTCTTCCCTTATAACATTCCCCTACTTTCTCTGCAGGAGTAATAATAGTAACCTAGAAGGGTGTGTTTACAAGTGTGCACTATGATCAAGCAGGCACCAGATGACCACCGTTGTCACTAGTGACACTCGACTTCACCAATCCTTACCAATCCTTATTCCTTACTCTACAAATGCCTTACAAACCACACCCTTGTCACATTATACATTGCAAGTACTTCTATGCAACACCCGCTGGACTAGACCCGGGGAGGGAGTGTACTGTGATGCACATCAATACAAATAAATTGTGTAATTTTACCGGTATGTATGTCCATTTTCTTTGGGCATCCAAAGAGCAATTTGGATGTCCAAAGAAAATTTTCATTTTCACTTTACACCCACAACTTTTGCATGCTAGCCTGGTTTTGCTTACAAACCATCACAGATCCATGAGCTGCCTCACAAAGTTATGGTGTGTCCTAAGGGTCAAGCTTACTCATATCTTTAACCACCAAATTAGAAAATAAAGCTGGTTTCCATCTACCCATGTAAGTGGAATTATTGAAGAATTCTCCTATAGTATTGTTATTATAGAGCTGGGACTTGCTCATCACTAATGACATCTAAATTATCACCACAATATTTACCATCTTATGTGACAGCAAGCTAATTATGCAATGAAATTAGTCTAGACTAGATCATATTATCATTTATTACAGCTTATCTTGGAGCTAGAAAATATAAAAGTCCAACAAATGAAGATAGAATTTTCCCAAGTTGACTTCATCAATTTTACAATAAAACTCAAAATCTAATTATTTTCAAAACTAGAATTCCTTATTTGTTTTAAAATCAGCATATACAGTGCATACTTATTCAAAAAGGATTAAAATACCTTGAAAACAATACATTTTAAATCCTAACACAACAAAGGACTTCCCACAGTAAAGCTTGTATACCGTAAGAATAATTTCAATAATGGATTTTCAAATTACTTCTATCAAAGTCACCGTTAGAGAAATCAAACTATTATATTTTCTCCATACCATAACATATATCCTTAATCATAAACATGTTCATAAAGAACCACTCCATTTGTGTAATCTAACACAAGCTGTAGAAAATATTACCGAGCCAAAATAAAAAAAAAATTGACAGGTATATGACATAACTAATGTTGAAGATTAAAGCAGAAAATGTAATATTTTGAAATGACTTTTATCTGTGCTAATCACACAAAAAATCCTCAGGGCTTCCATTACAGCACTTGTCTCACCAAATCCAGTACACGTACTGTACATGCAGGCGATGAGTCACAATAACGTGGCTAAAGTAAGTTGACCAGACCACACACTAGAAGGTGAAGGGACGACGACGTTTCGGTCCGTCCTGGACCATTCTCAAGTCAATTGTGATTGACTTGAGATTGTGATTGACAATCGACTTGAGAATGGTCCAGAACGGACCGAAACGTCGTCGTCCCTCCACCTTCTAGTGTGTGGTCTGGTCAATGTACTGTACATGTCCTAGAATTGTACTAGCAACTGCAAGTCAACAACTGTAGTTTCCATAAAACAAAAGTTAAAATATTTAAAATAAAAATTAACCTTTGGAATAGTACTGATACACATGAGCTGTAGATGGCAACACCTGCCAAAACTCCTAAAATTTTACAAGCTGAAAACACATTCAATGCACAACAAACTCTCTTTATAGTAAACACATTATGCTTAGAATTTGCAGGTTTATTGCAAAATGTGTCATAATTAGTAGTTTTTATGAACTGCAAGTGTATTAGTCCTAGATTATATCATTATGCATTTCTTATCAAGAAATATGATAACTAAAATCGTAGGATTTTACAATCTTTTTATATTTCCAGAAAGTAAAAAATCAAGCAGCTTTCAAGAGTTTTGCTAATAATAAACTTTATAGTCACTGGATTAATAATTCATGTAAATTATATACACTGAAGAAGTTATTGTTATCTTAATGTTAGTGAAGTTAATAGTGTACCTGTAGTTCATCAATGATTATCTACTACTAATGATGTAACCAAGTCATCCGTAGTTCACAACACTAACAACTCCATTTTGGTAATATTTACTTTGTGACAGCATCTGTCTAAAGTGACCTACGTGCAGTTTGAAAACAAAGCGACTAAACTATACCAAATAACTGAAGAAATATCTTGACATCATTCATTAAATGATACTACAACTTCACTGAACCATTTGATTGTTTGCTTCCAGTGAGCCGAGGCTAACCCTTCAACTTCACCCTAATTTTGCACATTTTGAGATGTTCCACTAATGCTGGAGATCCACTTGCTGCAGAGCAAATTAAAATTACACATGCAATTAAAAACTAATGTTCATTTCTCAATGAAGTAGGCAAAATAGTTATGCAGTAGCTTAAAGATACACTTGGGCTATTACATTACCTCATACAAAAAGAGTGCTTTGAGCACAACTGTAATTATATTGAGACTCAAGTCAATTATAACTTGATGGAAGAATGTGGAAAATGTCAAGGCTTTGGTGAGAGGAGCAGCTCTATAAGAGACAACCCGTTGTGCAGCGAAAGGCATATACTCTACCTCATTGGTATCCTTCATTACCTACATTTTATTTAAACTATTGTCCATTACAAAAATTTCATTCTCATTTATATTAACATATACAAAAGTTACCAAGGATACAGTCGTTAAATGGGTGACATACCACCAGTTAGTGGTAGGCATCGACAAAATGCCAAAAACATACACATAGCTACCACGTGGTGGATGAGTCGAGGTTGGGGGTGGAATCAACATACTTATTGAATCTTTGTGTGTTGAGCAGTAACAGTTTCGATGCCATTCGTTACATTCCGCCCGGTGTCCTCCACTTGTGCGGTTGACTCCTTTATCTGTTCTGCAGATTTTGTCCCAGACGAGGGGGGTAATGGGGGTAGGATCTTTGGTAGAAACACTATTACAAATATCCCAATGATGACTGGTATAAAATACATATCTCTGTAAAAAGAAAAACATTATCAGTATGAGAAATCTTACAAATAATTTATATTTAGATAAATTGTATTGATTTTTATAGATGCCCACATCCCTTTTCATTCATTCCTTATCATACAAATATTGTACAGTATTATCATTACCCAATTTCCTACTTGTATAGACTAAGGAGGCATCAAGACAATAAAAGTGTGAATACATGTACGGTACTAAGTAATAAAGTGAAAGAAGGTTATAAATATTAAAACCTAAAAAATTACTCTTATAATCTTGATATCACTTACACTATACCATCATGTACAAACAGATACAGTCATTCTCTCAATACACACTGCAAACACCCAGCTTTAACCCTTGACATATACAATATTCATACGTGATCTCCCACCACCCAACCACTGTGGCTGGACAGTAGAGCAACTGTCTCACTTCATGCAGTTCAATCCCCGACTGTCCAAGTGGTTGGGCATCATTCCTTTCCCCCGTCCCATCCAAAATCCTTATCCTGACCCCTTCCCAGCGCTATACAGTCGTGGTGGCTTGATGCTTTCCCCATGCTAGTTGCCTCCCGTTGCTCTCCCACTTCCTCATATCTTCATAAACCATGTCCTCCTATCTTCTTCCTAACCTACCTTTCTATTTTCCTACCCGGCAAATATCCCATCAATACACTTGCTTAACCAGTCTGCCATAGTTCATTCATTCAACGTGCTCGCAGTATCTTGATACAGTCGTGTCGATCTTGTGATTGTGTACATTTGTATTTTCCTAGTTCCTTAATCTATTCATTCTCCTTACACCACACATGTATCTCAGTTTCTCTCTTTCTACTGCTCAAATTTTTCCCCTTCTATTCCACACCAGATTCTTGATCCATACACTAAAATCTTCACTAGCGCTCCTGCACACAGTCCTAAGGCTGCATCGATTCTTTATTTTATTTTTCCTAACTAAGGCCTTGATCGGAGAAATTCCTCTTTCATCAATTACACATTCCAGGTATTTAAACCAATTTATCACTTCTACACTTCAATATTCACATTTATTTCTCAAAGAATTTCCCTCTCTCTCTCCATCATCATAATTTTATTTTTCTTTAATTCACGTTTAAAAGTGTTTCACACTTCAGTACAATTTTAAATGTGTTTTCATAAATCTTTCTCACTTTTAACTAGATTTTATCTTCTGCATACATCAAATTTGACATCAATTAAATTCATTAGATTTGCTAATCTAATAACCTAACCTAACCTTGCTGTAACTTTCTGAACATGACCTTACTCATAGTGCTGCTCATAATTCAATAATAATTATAATAATTCCTGGGTCTTAACCACTTAACTCCGCCAACCGAGAAAACTCTTTTTGATTTTTTCGTACCCATTCTAAATGTGTGCGAGGTTGGTTGTGTACGAAATGGACTCTTAAGACCTGCAGTGACAGGTAGCCATCTTGGAAAAAATTCCCAGAATGCTCTAGGGCTGCTGGCTGGGTTAGTATTGAGTGAGCAACCATGGGTGGTGCACGTGCCTCTGGCTCCCAAACAGCTGTCCGACGTGGTGTTGAAAGATCGCGCTTTGTCAGTGAAATTCAAACCTTATCGTTTGAAGAACATTAGGGTCATAATATTGGTGAAACTAGGCACAATAAGGACCTAACACAAAGGTTTGATGTAAGTGATACAGCACCTATGAGGAGGATACAGCGAGCATATCCAGTTGTAGCTCTGAGTGCCACCCTTGCCCACGTATGCTATCTCCAGTTTATTTAGATGATACATAGATGAATCATTTTCTGTGTTCAGTGATGATGTATCTTATACAAGTAGCATAGATGAACAGTGTTAGCGGCTTCCATGGTGGTGTTTTCCATAGATATTTTCAAGAATAGCTGAATCTCTTCCTGACTGACGGACACTCTTTGAGGCTAGCTGAATCTCATCCTGTGTGGGAGCTTACAAAGCGATCTTTTCAAGACTACCTTAAAAATTGATCTTTTCCTATAATCTTTTGAATACTACCTTATGCTTTACAAGCTTGGCTACAAGCTATTGCTCCTCGTACCTCTCTAGAGGGGGGGCCAGGGTCTGGCTCGTGGTCCCTGGTAGGCAAGAACTCCATGCACTGACTGATGCCAGAAAGATATACATATCCATTCAGCATGGATAGCTCTGGAGAGGCGACGGGGCTCCCCCAGAAAAGGGCAGTCTGCCAGCCAAGAAGACTCCAGAACCCCATAACGCACATAATATGGGAAAGAAGACCCTGTATTTGGGCCTTCCAATACAGGAAATCCGAGGGGAAATAATCGCCTCAATTTCCCAAGGAGATCAGAGGAAGAAGGAAACCTCCAGAAAGAATAATGCAAGGAACCCAAAGGCATCCAGAAATGCACCCAGGATGGGGGGCTGTTTAGTTGCACCTAACTCAAACTCGTACAGGGAGGGAGGGTACGAGAACCCCTTCCCCTGAAGCAACTAACCCTGCCCAGAAGGCACAAGGGCCCGAGTCAAAAGGAGTCCAATCACTCCAAGCAGACTCCCGCCCCCTGCCCCGGCGACCCCCATCCAAGTTCCTAGGGCAGAGCCCTCTTCCACGCCTACCACCTCTGAAGAAAAGGAGGAATCCAAGGGAAAAGTTTCTGAGAAGGAAGGCGGCCGAGTTGAACAGGAAGCCTCGGCAAGAAAAACGGGCTCAACCACTTCCGCGCCTAAATCTGAAGGGCCAAACCCCGAGGCCATCTGAGCCTCATCCCACTCTAAATCCCGCCCCCGCTCCGAAACCCTCAGACGTTTGGGACCAGACGTTTTCGTAAAGCGACGAAACTCCCCAACCTCAGAGCTATTCCCGACTGTCTAGGGAAGGCAACCCTGGCACACAAGGGCATTACTTAAGGCGCACCCTAGGAAGGGTACCCAGGGCACATGCAGCTCCAAGTTCAAAGAACACCTGGCCACCGCACCACACACACACACAGCTGGCACAGCCACACAGGACGAGAAGTGAGGGGGTAGACAATAGGGCCAGCTGAGCCGGCTTCTGAGCCGCAGGGGGGGGGGGGGGTTCTGCGAATGAGCGTGAGTTCTAGTTTGCGTGCAGAGTTGCTAGTTTTGATTCATTTCTTTTAGTTGAGGAAGAGTTTTTTCGCTCTTTCGGACTGTAGGTCGCATTTTACCAGCTAATGTTTTGTTTTTGTTCGCCTATCATTCTGGGCCACTGCCCAGGTCGATGGCAGAATATGACATATTTTACATGTAAAGTGCTCATACGCCATCGCTCCCTGCGCCTCTCTGAGGGGACCGAGTTCTGGCTCGTGGTCCCTTGTAGGCTCAGAACTCCACGTGATTGATGACCCCAAACTAATAAAGCACATGCTTTATTAGTTTGGCTAACTTCATGGAGCTGATGGGGCCCCCCCCAGAAAGATTCATCATATCTATTCAGGTACCTTTATTTTATCTACATTTATCTTGATCTTACTATACTGTACAAATAGCAAAACTGTAATAGAAAAATGTAATAATTCTGCTTTAATAAAAAATGAGGGGAAAAAATACCATAGTAGAGTATTGTACCTATACAGTATCTAAGACAGAAAACAAAACTATTCCTGTACTGTACCTGTAAACAGCAATGCTGTCCCAGAATCTCAGAAGAACAAAAGGAAAGGTGAAATAGACGAGACATAGGCGTGTGCTGATGCAAGTGACAACGTCATAAACCAATTTCGCAGTTGGCCCACGGTTTATGACACGCCAGCGCACACACCGCCGAACCTATAGTCAAATTAGAAAGCACTGTAATCAGAATTTTATGTTCTACAATATTAAGCAGAAGTATTATGTCAAGAACTTTCTTGCAGTTATGATGTATAGAGTAGTTTAATAACTATGCAAGCCAGATATTGTAATAAAAACTGGAGGTTTCCAATAAATGAAGTTTACAATAAAAACTAAATTATAGCTAGAGCAAATAAGCATCCTACTCACATATCTGGCAGCAATAGTGAAGAAGGCTCCACTGACAAATGTAATATAATATCCTGGGTAAAAGCCATGCCAGACAGAGGAGAGCATGTATGTGAAGAGGGTCTTGTTTGTGCCAGCGCGTTCGTACACCATGAAGCGCAGCCACTTCATCGTCCCACTGTTCCATGCTTCAAGGGTGTCTCTCAGGCTCAGTCCAGTCTTCCAAGAAACATTAAACCCAATTAGTTTTGTAAACAATGAGAAAGACAAAGGGAGGGCATAATGAAGGAAAGAAACAAATCATTACATGGAGAGAGGATGGAGTACTAAAATGTCATTGCAAATGGTTGTAACAAGATGGAGAAATGGTAAAACATTTGATATTCAACTGTGTGGTAAAAGCAAGGAGGTAGGGGAGGGGGGGGGGGTCAGCAAAATGTCTCCTGGTCACAGCCTTCCTCCTGTGCCAGGTAAGTCCACTATAGGCTCACCATAGCCCGTGCTACATGGAACTTTTTGTCCTGAGTAGCTGCATCTAAAACAACAACATGCCTCCTGGTACACACTCAAATGGTCATGTTGATAGGGTATGAGGTAGCAAAGTAAAACAGGGACAACCACACTACTTAAGAGTCAAAGTGAGGTGATGGTAATAAGAATGTGTATTGTAAGGCCAAGTGAGGCTATACACCATTATTTGCAAATACATAAAAGAAAAAAGGGTCCTCCCAAATCTCTTTCATCTCATTTTTTTTCTTGCAATGTATTTGTTATCATTTTATTAATTCTGCTAGAATTTATTTACTTAAAATTATCTGTTAGATTAAGGACCTGCCCAAAACGCTGCGCGTACTAGTGGCTTTACAAGATTGTAAATACTATGCTATGTATTCTCACAAATCTAATGTACCTTCTTGTATATAAATAAATAAATAAATAAATATACAATCTGAGTAACTGTCACCGTATATGTTATCTTACACCCTATATGTTATCTTATACCGTATATGCTATCTTACACTGTCATATACACCGTATATGTTATCTTGGCGTCACCCACAATTGAGAGTGACGCACACAATTTAAATGTCCCACGGCTACACAGGGTTCACATCAGCATCCTCAGGCTCTAGTAAACAGACACCATTTTTTTTTTAAATCGTGGGTAACATTCCCGGGTGTGAGTGTCTTGAGTGAGCAACCAAGGCTGGCACACGCAGCATGTGCTAACATCACTGCTGTTCAGCATGTGAACACAGCATTGCCTAAAAATGTCAAAATATATATGTAATTGCTATTATTTAGTGAAGATAGTATTACAGAAGACCCCTCATTCTGATAAAAAACCAGCGTTGAATGTAATGAAACGCCATTTTCTTGGTGAGTCCTGGAGGCTTCCCGGAGCTATCCAGGCAGAATGGATATGTATAACTTTCTGGCATCAGTCAATGTGCTTCGAGTTCTTGCCTACCGGGGACCACAAGCCAGAACCTGGCCCCCTCAGAGAGGCACAAGGAGCAATGGCCTATAGAAACCCTCCCGTGGTTGGGAGCATTCTATGTCTGCCATCGACCGGAACAGGTTGATGCTCCGGAAAGCAACAGCCTCATACGTCGCCAGAAAAGAAGGGGACGGCTGCAGACAAACAAACCGATTGCCCCGACCAAAGGTGCAGAAACTCCCCCGCCGGAGGAGAGCATGAAGCACACCGACCCGATCCCCAGAGGCTAATGCCAACAAAAAAAAGAGCCCCCCTTCGAGAAACAAACCGGAACCGAAGGGCCACCATAAACCGAGGAGAAGAAAGAAAAGAGAGCACACAGTCCAATGACCAGGACGGCTCAGGCGGCGCATGAGCAGGCCGGAGGCAAAACAACGCACAAGACAGCTTGTGGAATGGCGCAGAAGTAACAACAATATCGAACGCAAGTGGAAGCGGCTCCGCCAGCGCCGCAAGATACGAGGCGACAGTATGCGCCAAAATGACGGTTCCGAACCCCCACAAGAGAGGGACAAGACCACGCCAACAAAACACAGCCAACTAAAAATGGACAGAAGGAAAAAGGAAGGACCGCCAAGAAGAAGTACGCAGGTGGGACACCATCAACAAAACCACCGGATGACCAACAGAAGGTAAGAGACTTGAATCAGAGCCGAACCAGCCCCGCCATGGACCAAACGAGCCGATGACGAGGCGGAGCTGCGGGAAGGTCTCGGGTGCAACCACCGAGCAGGCAGAGCCAGAAACCCGAGCCGGCAAAGGGGATGGAACGTCTGCTGTACAGAAAAACGTCCCAACGCCAGCTAGCTAGCCAGGAGGTCTGAGACCACGGCCCCGACTGAGACCCTAGTGAAGGACATCACAAGATTCTGAAAATGCCAACAGGCAGGGAAAGCCAGGAACCAGGAACCCAAACCTGGCAATAGAAGAACCAAAAGGCACAAACAAAACACAATTTGTAGGAGAAAAGGTAGCTGAGGAATGAAGAAGGCAGGCAGCCATCGGGAACGAAAGGCACGCCAACAACACAGTCGATGGTCATGTCACAACACGAGACCAAACAGAAAAAAAAGGGCAAGGTTCACCACCAGACCAGCACCCGAACTGAGGGGTATGAGCCAAGATGAGAGATAACGGGAATGAAACCTCACGTCACTGGAAGACAGAAGAACCAGAGGGGACACCACCACAAGCAAGACCCTCAGAGGAATGAGAGGGTACATAAAGACAGACCAATGAACATAAGGGGCACACGTACCAGGGGACACAGGTGGAACGGATGCCCAATGAGCAATAGAAATGACAGAAGGATTCCAGTGTCAGAGTAGGAGACAAATGGAATGCATGAGGAAGGGATGTGGTGGAGGCTGACCCCCACACACAGCATCAAGTGTAGATACAACTCAGCCCAGTAGGCTCAGGAAGCTGTACAGAAGTCGAACAACAGGCAAGAGGAGAGACCAAAAATCCAGAGCTCAACCCTCGCAAACACAACGAGGTAAGCCCAACAACATAAGCACAGAGGCCATGTATATGGCAGGTGAGTGACATTGGGGCAGGACTAAAGAGCCGAAGCTCAATCCCAGCAAGCATAACTAGGTGAGGACCACTAGGGGAGTACAGAGAATCCAACGTACTTGGAAGGGCTAAGCCAGGCACTGCAAGGTGGGCAAGGAATGAGCGACCCAGAGAAGACCATTGCAACAAATAGCACAGATAAACAAGGAAGGCCCCCAGGAAGAAACACGCAAGGGCCAAACAAAATGCCACAGACAAACCCCAACACGCATCCTCAGTAACAAAACCGCATCAAAATGTCACCTCAGAACATCCTGACACAGTAACATGTACCTTAAAACATGCACCACCACCATTAGACCTTGTAACCTGGTGGAGGTGGAGCCCCAGGACTGACTCAAGCATGGGTTGGACATGCACACGAGTGGGACTGGATGGGTATAATGAGGAGCTACCTCGCATGGGCCAATAGGCACACTGTAAGCACCTGTGTTCTGATGTTCTCACATTCGTACCCCAAAAACCAAGAACCAATGCCTGGGCGAACGAGACGCCAGACCACAAACTCGCCTGCAGAACGTAGGCACGAACGCGTCACGACACAACGTAGTCGAGAGGATTCCGGGAGCACCGCCAGGTAAAGAAGGCCAGAGCCCCACATGCAGAAGGGCAGTGGGAGAGGCGAAGGCGGCGCCCCGCACCCATAACACGGGGAAAACCCCAACGTCCACCCCACAGCTGCAATCCAGAACACCCCAGTAGCTATGGGGCACAGACTGGAGAATGGAGAAGAGCTAGAGGTGAAGCACCCGAGAGAAAAGGACGCAAAACACCAGCACTTGTGCACACCGCCCAGTCCAAAACAAACTCCCATGGCACACGCGCAGGACACTAAGTCCAAACCGCACAACCTGAGCCTAATCCGGCATCCCAGACCAGGAGTATGCAAAGAAAACGACCAGTGCCGAGACAGAGCACGGAGAGAAGAAACAGTAACAAAAGATCGAGACAGGACCGAAAACCAAGAATAAGCCCGGAAGAGGACCAACAAGCCCTAGGAAGGACCGGAGGGAAGCCACACCGAAAGACGACAGACGTTCCAATAATACGGGAAGTAGCGAAAAACCTTCCTGAACCTTCGAACACATAGAAGCAAGCACAAGCACGAAGGCACACAAAAGCACAGTCGCACCCGAAACCAAAAGTCATGCAGAACCCCAAGAAGATGGGAACATGACGGGGAAGTCCTGTCCCAAGAAAAAGGGGGTGAATAAAGTGAAAAGAGCACAAGACGGAACCAACGGACTCAAGGGACAAGGAACCGAGCCCGGGGGAGGGGCCGACGCCCAACAACTCGTACAGAGAGGGGGGGAAGGAAAATCTCCCCTCCGCGTAACCGCAAGCCCCCACTCAGAGGATAGAACAATCTTGGCAGGGTCCAATGGGGCTCGAGGCCCCCCAAGTCAGCCCCTCTCCAGCCCCGGGAATTCACACGGCAGACCACGGGGCCGAGCCATCCCCCCAAAGCCCAGGCCTAACAAGAAAAAACCGGGGCAGCCGCAAAAAATACTAAGGAAGGGAGCCCACTGGCAGACTCATACAACACGGCTGGAGAAACAGGCACGAATGCCCCTGTCGCTACTGTGGAAGGGGGAATTCCCTGAGACTGCCCGAGTCTCAACCAACGAAGCCCCGCCCCGACCCCGAACCCACAGATGGTAAGGACCCAGATGCAGGGAGGGAGGAAGGGGGGGGGGACCAGACTAGATCACAACAGGGGAAAAACAAGGGGACGTGGAAGGAAACCGAAGCAACCAACACCCCCAAGCCCCGTCACACCATCCAAAACGAGCCAGCCTCGGGGCTTCCGGGGAGCAAACAACCCAGAGCGTTGCCACCACTGAAACTCAACTTGCAACGCCTATGCTGCCTGTACCTGCATAGTCAGCATAAGACTGGGTAACAGAGTCACAAACAAGCAACAAAACTCGTAGGACTCTGTGTTAAAGGTGCCACCGACCCCACAGGCAGCAGACGGAGACAAAAACAGTGAGAGCTACCCTGAGACAAGGGGACAGAGCAGTCCTCAAACTCGCTCGAAGCGAGGGGGACTCAGGGGCCACAACCATCGGACCCGCCCACCCCCTAGGGGTTTCCCAGGGTCCTGAGCGTTTACTATAATAGGACTCGCGCTCAGGTAATCCCAGGCAGGGTACTGCTAACCAGCGCCAAAGTCTACCAAACAACCTTCTAAGAACTGAACCCCCGGGACATGTACACTCACGTAGGGAACCTAGCACGGGGATCCACCGGAAGAAGGAAGAGTACTCAGTAAACAGGGGGCAAGAACCAAGACAGACCCCCCCACCAGGCAGACAAAAAGAAAAAGAAAACCCCGCAAGAGGACCAGCGCAAAACTGCCCTTCACCCTAAGACAAACAGGGAAGACAGAACACCCTAGCACACAAAGGGCAGCCAAAAACCAAGCAGTAAACGGCCTAGCTGAGGCAGAACCCAAGGAACTTGGGGAAGGTAACCCCAAGCCCCAAGGGCAGTACTTACATGGCACCTAGGGAAGGAAACCCTAGGTGTATGCAGCCCGAGTACTGGAGAATCACTCCTGGCTCATGCCCCGCCTAGCAGACAGGCACCACACACTAGGTACAGTGCTGAAACAACCACTGAAGCTGGAGCACACAACCGGTGCCTCTAGCATCAGCCTTAGAACTGACGGGTGGATAGCCGGCATGGGGGGTCTGGGGGCTGCCTCATCCCCTTTCCCGGGGAGGGGGGGGGGAGCTGCGCAGCCAGCGGAGTGGCAACGTGTGACGTCATGCTCATTTGCTTGCTTTTTTTAGGGGAGTTCTATCCACTTGTTGGCCTTTTGGTAGTAATATTTTCACCAGAATAGGGGTTTGTTTTAGGATGCTTACCTTTCTGGGTGCCAGACCAGGTCGATGGCAGACATAGAATGCTTCCAACCACAAGGAGGTTTCTATAGGCCATTGCTCCCCTTGCCTCTCTGAGGGGGCCAGGTTCTGGCTCGTGGTCCCCAGTAGGCTCACAGAACTCCATACACATGACTGATGCCAAAGTCTGACATTAGTTTATCAGCCTAGTAAGCTCCGGGGAGCCAACAGGGCTCCTCCCAGAAAAACTGCTTTTCATCATTGTTTAAAGTCGTTATTCATTCCCGATATCATTTGTTACACTATATCATTCGTTTTTGTGTTGCTTCGTGTTTATAAAGGCAGTAACAAAAAATACCTGAGGTAAAACAACCGGAACGGGCAAACATTTCGACTTGAGGGTAGGCCGCTGCAGTCACAAGCGTGGTCACAAAACTATGAGTGTCCCACGTGGGTGGCCACCCATGCAGCGTTGTCATGATGCCACATGGAGTACACAGAGAATGGGAAGACGTTGGTGCGCATTTTAAAACAAGTCCCATAATAATCAAACAATAAATGAAATTTTTACAAATATTTTAATTGTTGACGGCACAAACGTCATGTCCCACACTACGTGAGTTGTTTTAATGACTGTAATGACTGAGAACGTCATCGTGAAGCCAAAGTGTTAAAATGTCATGGAAGGATGTGAAGTGCTAACTAAGCAGTAAGGTTAACTTGAGATGATTTCGAAGCTTAGCGTCCCTGTGGCCCGGTCCTCGACCAGGCCTCCTTTTTGTTACACAACCCCAGGAAGCAGCCTGTAGTAGCTGTCTAACTTCCAGGTACCTATTTACTGCTAGATAACAGGGGCATCAGGGTGAAAGAAACATTTTACCCATTTGCCTCCGCCTTCACCGGGGATTGAACCCGGAACCTCAGGACTACAAATCCGAAGTGCTGTTCACCCAGCTCTCAGGCGCCCAGTATATCATAATATTTATGTATATCATAATATTTATGACTGTGTATTAAGATGACCTGGAAGGATGCGAAGTGCTAATCAGTATATCATAATATTGAGGGCTGTGTATTAAGATGGTTTTTGTCATGATAAATTAACGGATGATGAGGAAATGTGAAGTGTATGAATTCAAGTGAATTTGAGAATAGGAGAGAAGAAAGCCATGATGATGATGATAGACAGATATGGCGAGTGAGCAAAGCATTAGGAATTGTAAACAGAGGACAAAAAGTGGTAAGGAACAAGGCTAGGATGGCTACATTTTTGAAGAGGAAAGCAATGTTTGATATGCTTGCACATGCAACTAAGGAGAAGCACTAACACCTAGCCTTATGAAGTGGTTGAATTTACTGCAGTGTGATGGAACTGGTTCTCCATGATACTGTTTAATGAGCAAGGTATGATAAATGGATCAATGTCAATTTAACGTTTCTTCCTTTTCTATCTTCTATATTCTCCAGGCTCATTCTCAGATGCAATGCTTCAGAACACCCATGTACAAACACCCAAATGATGATTACAGAATTTTATACCAATTGACACTGCAGTGAAAATGCTTCTAATTATAAGTTCTAATACTAGCTTAAAAACTCTTTCCTTACTTTTGGAATGCATGTCTGAGGGCTCCATGCCTGTGAACACAGCAGAAAAACTCTAGTGGGATAACGCTCCATTAATCAGTTAGCAGCACACTTACCTCCACCCCCACAACGTTGACATTTGACACGAGATCCCACTTGGCAGATCCATCCTTGTTGTAGCCATTGAAGCCCATGCCAGACATGTTGCAGATGCTGTCCCCAAGAAGCCAGGCAGTGTAGTAGACATGTCGGGTACAAGATATCGCAGCAACTATGTAAAAGGCCTTGTGTAGGTAGGAAGACCTGAAATACCCTGGGTCTGTTAGGGGGAAAAAACCAGTGTTGAATGTAATGAAATGCCATTTCCTGGGCGAGCCCCAAAGGCTCCGTGAAGCTACCTGAACTGATATGTGCTATATTAGTTTGCGGTCATCAGTCACTGGAGTTCTTATGCCTACCGGGAACCACGATCCAGAACTTGTCCTCTCAGAGAGGCGCAGAGAGCAATGGACTATGAGCACTTTACATTTAAATTATTTCATGAATGCCATCAACTGGGGAGAGAACCCACAAAGATAGGCAAAACAAAACAAAACAGATTACAAGATTACAATCTGGTGAAAATTGTGACCTACGTCCGAATGTAGCAAAAGAACTCCCCCAGAAAGAAAACAAACAAGCAACACTTAATTCATCTAGTACTCTCGCTTGTTAGTGCTCCGCCCACCCCCCCTCCCACACCCAAAGAGGGGAGAGGGAGCCGGCTCAGGTGAGCCTGCAGCCTACCACTTCAGTTCATGAACTTGGGAGTGGTAGGCTAAAACCAAATGGGGCAGCTCCGGGTCCTCCAACTGGGCAACCAACCTGGTGCGTTGCAAGAAAGAGAAGCGAGTTTGCAACGCCTCCACAGCCTGAATCCTATTATCCGCAGACAAGAAATGGAAACTGAGGCACAAGCGGGGGAATAAGTCCTGTAAGACTCCAGGTCATAGGTGTCACTGACCCAAAAGGCAGCAAGGCGGAGGGGGAAAAGGTGATCATCTTCCTGAAGGAGGAGCGACGAACAACCTTCAACTTCGCACAAGGCAAAAGAGAACGCGGAAGAAACATCCATAGTACCTCTGAGCCCACCGAGATTTTCTAGAGCCCGTTGGCTGAGTAAGCCCTACGGGAAGCCCAGACACTGGACTAGCTAAGTGGGTAGAATCCTGTCAGTCAGCAGACAAACTGACCACCAGTAGCAGCTGTGAAGCCTTGGTTGTCTTCCTCAGTTACCCCCAACATAATCTAGGTTTCCCTAATAAGTAGCTAGGCAGACCACCTCTGTTAACAAAAAAGCAAAAACACTAGAAAAGAAAAGAAAACCACTGAAAACCCACAACAAACAAACTGGCATCCAGAGAGAATCGTCGGCCGCTGCATGTGCAAGCTGTGCCAACCACAGTAAACCCCACCCAGCCAATAACACACTCCACCTGGGGCAAGACAAAATGCACAAGACCCCGGAAGTACCCCAAGGGCAAAGACAAGGCCAAGCAACGAAGTCCTCAAATAGGAACGAGTCCCGAACGCCCCAGGGAGGTACCCGAAATGCAAGGGCAGTACTTACGGAGCAACTAGGGAAGATTGCCCTAGGCGCATGCTGATCTGCGTACAAGAAGACACCTGGCCACTGAGGCAGGGGCGACGAACAACCTTCAACTACGCACAAGGCCAGAGAGGACTCTGAAGAAACATCCATGGTACCTCTGAGCCCACTGAGATTTTCTAGGGCCCAAATTTGTCTGGTAGACAAATTCACTACAAATGACAAGGAAATCTGTGAGGAACTCAATAAGAAAATCCAGGAGGTCTTCACAGTAGAGCAAAGGATAAAGTCCCAGAGATAAGAGAGGGAATATCTAACCAAACACCACTAGATGAGTTTGTGATTACCAGTGGGAAGGTAAGGAAGCATCTGCTAGAGTTGGATCTGACAAAGGCAATAGGCCCGGATGAGTTCACTATCTCACCATGGATAGTGAATGAAGGAGCAGAAGCTCCTTGCCTGCCACTCTCCATGGTGTAACAAATCACAAGTAACAGGTGAAATGCCAACAATTTGGAAGTCAGCAAATGTAGTCCCAATATTCAAGAAAGATGATAGACAGGAAGCGCTGAACTACAGGCCAGTGTTCCTAACTTGCATATCATGTAACATGATGGAGAAGATGGCATGAAAAAAGCTAGTGGAACATCTGGAGTGAAAGAACTTTTGTAACACATCATCATCATCATCATGGGGTTATCTTGAGATGATTTCGGGGCTTAGTGGTCCCGCAGCCCGGTCCTCGACCAGGCCTCCTTTTTGTTACACATCCCCAAGAAGCAGCCTTTAGCAGCTGTATAACTCCCAGGTGCCTATTTACTGCTAGGTAACAGGGGCATCAGGGTGAAAGAAACATTTTGCCTATTTGTCTCCGCCTCCACCGGGGATCGAACCCGGAACCTCAGGACTACAAATCCGAAGCGCTGTCCACCCAGCTGTCAGGTTAAAGAGTGGCAAATCATGCCTCACTGGATTAACTGAATTCTATGATCAGGCAACAAAAATCAGGCAAGAAAGAGAGGGCTGGGAAGACTGCATATTTTTGAATTGCCAGAAAGCCTTTGACACAGTACCATTAAGAGACTAGTGCACAAGCTGTAGATGCAGGCAGGAGTGAAAGGGAAGGTATTCCACTGGATAAGAGAGTACCTAAGCAACAAAAGACAGTGAGTCACTGTGAGGGGATGAGGTCTTGGAATGGCGAGGCGTCACCAGTGGAGTCTCACAGGGATCAGCCCTTGAACCTATACTGTTTCTGATATATGTAAATGATCTCCCAGAGGAAATAGACTCGTTCCTCTCAATGTTTGCTGATGATGCAAAAATTACAAGGAGGATTAAGACAGAGGAAGATAGTATGAGGCTACAAGATGACCTAGACAAGTTGAAGGAATGGTCCAACAAATGGCTATTAAAGTTCAACCCAAAAAATGTAAAGTACAGTAATGAAATTAGGTGGAGGAAATAGGAGGCTAGACACGGGATACCGAATGGGATATGAAGTCCTTCATGAAATGGACAGAGGGAAAGATCTAGGTATCTAGATTGATATCAAGCCAAACCTGTCTCCTGAAGCCCACATCAAAAGAATAACATCGGTGACATATGTGAGGCTGGCTAACATCAGAACTGCCGTTAGAAACCTGTGTAAGGAATCTTTCAGAACCTTGTATATCACATATGTAAGGCCAATCCTGGAGTATGCGGCCCTAGTATGGAGCCCATACTTTGTCAAGCACAAGACGAAACTGGAGAAAGTACAGAGATATGTCACTAGGCTAGTCCCAGAGTTAAGAGGCATGATTTATGAGGAAAGGCTGCGTGAAATGTACCTCATGTTGCCGGAAGAGAGAAGAGCTCAGGGAGACATGATCACCACATACAAAATTCTCAGGGAAATTGACAAGGGTAGACAAGGATGGATTATTTAACACAGGTGGAAGCTGAGTACCCAAATGAGTCACAGAGACAATAGAAAGAACTTTTTCAGCGTCAGAGTAGTTAATAAATGGAATGCACTAGAAAGTGATGTGGTGGAGGTAGACTCCATACACAGTTTCAAATATAGGTATGATAGAGCTCGAGAAACTCAGGAATCTGTACACCAGTAGATCGACAGTTGAGAGGCAGGAACAAAGAGTCAAAACTCATCCACCACAAGCACACCTAGGTGAGTACGACCAGGTGGTACAGCCACACAGGGCAAAATCCTGAACAGGAACTTGAAGCCAGAGGTGACCGAGTTAACCCAAGTACATCAGTTCAAGAACTAGAGTGTAGGGGTGCAGGCTCATCTGAGTCAGTTTCCCCTCCCCTCTTTGGGTGAGTGAGGAAAGGGGGGAGCATAAGGACTCCAGTGACTGATGACCCCATACTAATGTAGCACATAACAGTTCGGATAGTTTCAGGGAGCCTCCGGGGCTCCCCACAGAAAAAAAGTATTGCTGATGAAGTAACACACACACAAAATAAGGACACCATTGCACACCTGTGCAACTCATTTTCTATAGCATTTTGGAAGACTGCAAATTTTGTAATACAATATTATTTTAACACTTCATATACCTACACATTTGTATCATAATGTATTGTTTATACAAACACATTGGTTTATTTGGTGTCAACACAATTGTTGTGAAAATTCTATCCTACAAAGAAGTATGTTTACAAGTATATATTTGTATTTTCCCACTAACTGTTTTCACACAAACTCCCAATACTTATAATTTAACAATATGAGCAAGATAAAATTAAAAAGTACACTAAAATGTCTTCAAGAGAAATATAAGAGTAAAAGGTTTACCTGTGAGGTAGGACATGGGAAATTTGGGGAGAACACAAACAGTGATAACTGCAGAGATGGCAGCCAACCCTGCCTTGTAGAGGGACACTCTCATGGGGTTGGGTTCATCCTCGGGCCTACATACATCCTTCTCTCTCTCCATCACTTTTAAGCCTCTGGGACTTTTGTTCCTGTTACTATCCAATGAATTCTGAAAAAAAGCATTAAATGTAATGAAACGCCATTTTCTGGCTGAGCCCTGGAGACTCCCTGGAGCTTATCGGACTGATATACACCATATTAATCTGGGGCTTCAGTCAATGGAGTTCTGGCTGCCGAGGACCACGAGCCAGAACCTGGCCCCCTCAGAGAGGCACAGGGATCACTAGCATAAGGAAACTCCCTTGTATTTGGGAGTATTCAATGTCTGCCATCGACTGGGGTTAAGCACCCAGAAAGGTAGGCATTCCAAAACAAACCCCACTTGGTAGGAAATTGCAACCCAAGACCAAACAGAGAAACAGAACTCCCACAAAAGAAAACAAGGAAACAAGTGAATGTCATCCACAGCCACCACGCCGCTTGTCCGCACAGTTCCCCCGCACCGGTTGCCCACTTTTCAGTTCGAAGACTGAGCGTCAAAAACGAAACCGCCAACCAGAGGACAGGAGGGTGCCAGGGAGCCTGCAACCTGCAATCCAAAGTCACACACGAACGACTGGGACCAGGAACATTCACAAAATAATGGGCAGCCAGGACCGTGTTCGACTTCCAAAACCCCCATGCCCGAATGTCAGACCAAGTCATATTCCCAAACACGGCAGCCAAAGTAGCAGCATATTTACGAACATTATGGGCATGAGGGTTGACAGCAGGCTGGCGAGACTTTATAACCCTGCGGACGACCTGAGAGACCCGAGCCCTGGAACAGGGAATGAGGGAAATCAGATCAATGGCACAGAGCCGCATCCGGACACTACACATGATGCACCCCGGGCCTGACCAACCAATCATCAATAACCCAAGGGACTCCTCCGGAAGCCTGCGACTCATTCTCCGCCAGAAAAGGAGGAAACAACGGCAACCGAACAAACTGACCACCACGACCGAAAGAGCAGAAACCTCTGCACCAGAGGAGAGCATGAAGCTCATCAACCCAATCTCCAGAGGCCAATGCACACAGAACCTTTTGAAAGCAATCTAGAACCGAAGGGGCCACCACAAACCGAGGAGAAGAGAGAAAAAAGAGAGCACCCGGTCCAAGGACAAGGACGGCTCAGGCGATGCATGAGCAGGCTGGAGGTGAAACAAAGCACAAGAAAGCTTACTGAATGAAGTGGAAGTGACATCCACCCCGTATACAAGCTGGAGCGGCTCCGCCAGCGCCGCACGATAAGAGGCAACGGTACTGTAGACACTCTATTATCCGGGATTCGAATATCCGGTAAACGCCCATATACGGCCAAAATTGTGACCGGAAAAAGTTATCTCAATATCCAACCGAAATGTCCATAAGAGCTGGAAAATCGAGTGTTTGACTGGATAAAAAATCTGGGCCAGTTAACTTGCTGCTGATGTTGCACTATCCGGACAGTCAGCTGGACAAGCAGTGAATTGTCCGGATATGAAAGCCAGACTGCGGGCCATGCCATATTAATCCCGTACGGCTGTGACTCTAGCCGCATGGTGTAGGAGGGGGTAGGGTGGGTGGGTGGTGTCGGGAGAGAGGGGGAGCGTTGGGAGGGACAACCTGGGGGAATAGGGGGGATGTGGAAACACTAACACCTCTCCTCCGCCTCACTGTCTTCCATACGCCAACAAGAGTTATCAGTAAAGGTAAGCAATAACTTGTACATACTTTACTACTAATGATTTGGGTGAATTAGGTATAAAATTTACTTTAGAGTTAATATTTTTGAAGTGTGGAACAGATTAATTCAATTTACATTACTGTATTTCTTATGGGAAAGTTTGTTTCAGTTTAAGAATTTTCGGGTTACAAACTGTCTGGGAACGGATTAAATTCGTAAACGGAGGTACCACTGTATTAGGCATAAGATGACGGTCCTGAAACAGTCAGTCAAGAAAGAAAGGACAAAACAACCCGAGCAGAAATAGAAGAAAACCGACAAAAAGAGAGGAAATGGCGAAAAAACACAGACTTCATACTGTTGCTGAGATGAAGACCACAGGTGGGAGACCATCAATGAAACCACCTGATCCCTATACAAGTGGTGATACACTCGCATCAAAAGACCAGACTCGGCGAGCAGAGTAGAAGATTGAATCATCGAAGTATCAGACTGACCCTGGTAGTCCTGTACCATGCTGTGGGCCCCACGGAAGGACAGACCCCACCGCCTCTTGCCAGCCTGGTGAGCCCTGATCACAAAACCCCAGCCAAGAGACGACGCATCCATGAACACATTGAGCGAGGGCTCGGGTAGAAGCTAAGGCACTGATCCCTGAAAAACCCTTAGAAGAAGCTAGCGATGCGGCAGCCGATGTAAGACATCCGAGGCCGAACCCAGCAATCGCGAGAGGCAGAAGGGACGTCCCAGAAGGAACCAGAACAGCCAACGAAGCCAAACCCGGCCCGGTGGGTAGACTAGTAGTATGGCAAAGTTCAGACTCCCGCACAAACCCTCGAGCAACTGCCTCATGACCCAGGAGCCTACCAGAAACAGCTGAAGGTGGACCGCAGCCGAACCTCCGGAGGGAGAGACAAGGAAGCTGTCCGAGAGTCCCACACAAGACCCAGCCAAGTCCGAACCTGAGAGCAAACCAGATGGGACTTCCTCCAGTTCACCACGAACTCGAACCCGGCGAGCTGGGAAGGAACCAAATCCCAGTCTGCCTGGCGAGCAGACACGCTAAGTGGCTGGGAGTCCACACCAGCCAGTCGTCGAGGTAGGTCAGAACCCGAACCCCTAACAGACGCAAACGGGCAACCATGAACTGGGCAAGATGTGTAAAAACATGAGGTGCCAGATTGAAGCCGAATGGAAGGCAACGAAAGCATAAGCCTGCTTCCCCACAACAAAACCGAGCCAGTCCCTGAACCCCAGATGAATCAGGACATGCCAGTACGCATCCCGGAGGTCCAGGAACACCATCCAAGCACCCAGCTCCAAAAGAAGACGGTCCTGGGAGAGAGTAGTCATCCGAAAAGAAGGGCAATAGACCCAGGGGTTCAGATGGGACAAATCCAGAATGAACTGCAGGTCCACGCAGTCCCGTTTCGGAACTGGGAACAGGCGGGAAACCCACCTGAGGGACAAGGACGTTTCAACCAAGCCCAAGTGAACCCACTCCAAGATACCCCAACAGAACGCAGAAGAGGTCTGCCCCACCAGTCCTGAACACCCCTGAAGAAGGAGGGGCTACCCAATGCCACCGCAGTCTGCAAGAAACGACCTAAAATGCCCACGAATTGTGGGACCAGGTGTGAGCAAACAGCGCTAGCCTTCCCCCCATCACCCTGTCAATGGGATGACCCACAAAAGGGCCGATGCCCCTTACAAGAACCGACGAGCAGTGATCACTACACCGACCAGACGTCATCGGCTCTGAAACTGGCACCACTGACCTACCATGATGGGGAGGAACCCCAATTCCTGGCATGACCCCTCTGGGAAGAGTCCCCCAACCAACAAGTCTGATATGGGATGACAACTAGATGAAGCTGCCTGCAGATACTGCACCACCGCAGACTCCACAAACAGCAAAGGACAAAAATGCGTAGAAAACCAAAGAGGCAGGGCCCAAGCAGATTCCAAGGATTGAGCGAGCCCAACCTGATGGTACTCAAGACGAGAAGGAAAGGACAGAGACACCGCCTCCCGCAAGATCAACGCAAACAGCTTCATCAGGGCAGCCAACGCCCACACTGCCAAGACCAGAGCACCAGACCTCAGATCGGCACCCAGCACCTCCACAGCCTCCTCAAGCCAGTCCAAAGACAGCTTGAGAAGGGAAAAGAAACTTAGGACTGAAGCTAAATGGCCACGAGCGCACAAGTCCTCAGCTACCAGAGTCGTCGATAGAGAGGGAACCTGCACATGAAGCTGCACCAGGCTGACGTCCCAAGGAAGAGCAGGGGCGAACAAAGACGCATTGAGGCGTTCAGATTCGCTCTCCAGGTAACCTGAACAACCGTAAGAGCCTCTCACTACTCAAGCGTGCAGGACTGACAAACGTATGCCACACCCCTAACGAAAAGAGAGGACAGTCTGTCAATCAGGATGACTCTAGAACCTCGTAACGCACCCAATAAGGAAACGAAGAACCGAACTCAAGAGGAAGGATAAATTATCGAGGCATAATCTGGGTCACGCAGGAGGTAAGCCGCAAGGGCATCTGGCACCTCATGAAGCGGGATGCGGGAAGCCGAAAATCTCCAGAAGGAAGGGACCGAAGAACCCAAGGGAACCCGGAACCAACCCGATCTCACATCAACCTCAGAACTGGGAGTGGATAGCTGGCAAGGGGGTCTGGAGCTCCCCCTTTCCCCTCCTGGGGAGGGAGAAGCTGCCCAGTCGGGCGGGGTGATGGTTGTGACGTCATGCTAGTTAGCTCATTTTAGTTTGACCAGTTCTGTTCAACAGTTCGGCTTCCAGTAGCAATTTTAACTAGATAGGGTTTGTTTTGGGGCGCCTACCTTTCTGGGTGTTTCACCCGGTCGATGGTAGACATAGAATGTGTGGCTTGTGGTCCCCGGTAGGAAAGAACTCTATTCGCTTGACTGATGCCACGGTCTAATACATTCATATCAGCCCAGACAGCTCCGTGGAGCCGAAGGGGCTCCCTTCAGAAAACAGTGCAATGTATGGTTCAGCTTTTGAAGTGCCAGTTTAATGAATCACAAATAATAACCAAACAGTAATATTACCAGTACTGTACATCTTTATACAAGTCAATACTACACAATCAAGACAATATAAATAATATTATTATCAATCATGACATATAACTCTTCCTCAAACCTTGTGAGGAAGAGTTTTCTTTAAGCATTAAAACCAGGTACAAATGATGTCAAACTTTAAAAAGAACACTTTAAATACTTACTAGTTTTTCTTTGTTTGACTATTAAATGACTATGAAGAGTCAACAGTCTAAGTCACCTCAGTGAGCACACATGGCTGAGTCCCCTCTGTGAGCACACATGGCTGAGTCACCTCAGTGAGCACACATGGCTGAGTCACCTCTGTGAGCACACATGGCTGAGTCACCTCTGTGAGCACACATGGCTGAGTCACCTCAGTGAGCACACATGGCTGAGTCACCTCAGTGAGCACACATGGCTGAGTCACCTCTGTGAGCACACATGGCTGAGTCCCCTCTGTGAGCACACATGGCTGAGTCACCTCAGTGAGCACACATGGCTGAGTCACCTCAGTGAGCACACATGGCTGAGTCACCTCTGTGAGCACACATGGCTGAGTCCCCTCTGTGAGCACACATGGCTGAGTCACCTCTGTGAGCACACATGGCTGAGTCACCTCAGTGAGCACACATGGCTGAGTCACCTCAGTGAGCACACATGGCTGAGTCACCTCTGTGAGCACACATGGCTGAGTCCCCTCTGTGAGCACACATGGCTGAGTCACCTCAGTGAGCACACATGGCTGAGTCACCTCAGTGAGCACACATGGCTGAGTCACCTCTGTGAGCACACATGGCTGAGTCCCCTCTGTGAGCACACATGGCTGAGTCACCTCAGTGAGCACACATGGCTGAGTCACCTCAGTGAGCACACATGGCTGAGTCACCTCTGTGAGCACACATGGCTGAGTCACCTCAGTGAGCACACATGGCTGAGTCACCTCAGTGAGCACACATGGCTGAGTCACCTCTGTGAGCACACATGGCTGAGTCACCTCTGTGAGCACACATGGCTGAGTCACCTCAGTGAGCACACATGGCTGAGTCACCTCTGTGAGCACACATGGCTGAGTCACCTCAGTGAGCACACATGTCTGAGTCACCTCTGTGAGCACACATGGCTGAGTCCCTCAGTGAGCACACATGGCTGAGTCACCTCAGTGAGCACACATGGCTGAGTCCCCTCAGTGAGCACACATGGCTGAGTCACCTCTGTGAGCACACATGGCTGAGTCCCCTCAGTGAGCACACATGGCTGAGTCACCTCTGTGAGCACACATGGCTGAGTCACCTCTGTGAGCACACATGGCTGAGTCCCCTCAGTGAGCACACATGGCTGAGTCACCTCAGTGAGCACACATGGCTGAGTCACCTCAGTGAGCACACATGGCTGAGTCACCTCAGTGAGCACACATGGCTGAGTCCCCTCTGTGAGCACACATGGCTGAGTCACCTCTGTGAGCACACATGGCTGAGTCCCCTCAGTGAGCACACATGGCTGAGTCACCTCTGTGAGCACACATGGCTGAGTCACCTCAGTGAGCACACATGGCTGAGTCACCTCAGTGAGCACACATGGCTGAGTCCCCTCAGTGAGCACACATGGCTGAGTCACCTCTGTGAGCACACATGGCTGAGTCACCTCAGTGAGCACACATGGCTGAGTCACCTCTGTGAGCACACATGGCTGAGTCACCTCAGTGAGCACACATGGCTGAGTCACCTCTGTGAGCACACATGGCTGAGTCACCTCTGTAAGCACACATGGCTGAGTCACCTCTGTGAGCACACATGGCTGAGTCACCTCTGTGAGCACACATGGCTGAGTCCCCTCAGTGAGCACACATGGCTGAGTCCCCTCTGTGAGCACACATGGCTGAGTCACCTCAGTGAGCACACATGGCTGAGTCACCTCTGTGAGCACACATGGCTGAGTCACCTCTGTGAGCACACATGGCTGAGTCACCTCTGTAAGCACACATGGCTGAGTCACCTCTGTAAGCACACATGGCTGAGTCACCTCTGTGAGCACACATGGCTGAGTCACCTCTGTGAGCACACATGGCTGAGTCACCTCTGTGAGCACACATGGCTGAGTCACCTCAGTGAGCACACATGGCTGAGTCACCTCTGTGAGCACACATGGCTGAGTCACCTCAGTGAGCACACCTGGCTGAGTCACCGGAGTCAACTTGACTGTTAACCATGGCCAACTTTGTCAGCCAAATAGGCATGAAGAGGCTTACCATTGCTGCAGAGGTGTTGATAGCTCGCTTCCTGTAATTAGTCCCATCGATGAAGTCCTGATAGTCAGCAAACATGAAGAATGGTCCAGCAAGTACAGAATGGAAGTTGAGAGCGTAGCCGAAGTACTCTACTGCAGAGGGCTTCTTTCTGTTACATTCAGAGACAAGTCAAGACTATGTTATCTAGTTTTGCTGCTTATTATCCTTAATGCAAAATGCTATAGTTTTAATTTATATAGATGCGCACATACGAGTGCGCGCACACACACACACACGGAAGTTATGAGGGAAGGGGATGTACCGTCAGTACTGGATCTAGTATTCAACAGGAAAGAATAAGAGATATTTGACATCAAGTACCTTCCTCCCTTAGGAAAGAGTGATCACGTCAAGTTAGACATTAAATATGTTTTAAGATATCATCTTGAAGAAAATGGGGACATTGAAATAGTTGATAAACTCGATTTCAAGAGATGACACTATGGTGAGCTTCGACATTTTTTTTTAATGAGTATAATTGCACATACTTGTTGCTAGGCAGGGAAGTAAATGAGATTATGCCAAATTTTGCAAAATATACGATGAAGGTACACAAAAATTCATACCTAGACAGAGATGCAGGGCCAGAAAACAGGATTGGTTCAACAGAAATTGCGAGAGGGCCAGAGACCATAAGACATAAAAATGGAATCAATATAGGAAGAGGCCAAACCCCCAAACATACCAGCGATACAAAGATGCGAGAAACAACTACACAGCAGTGAGGAGAGAGGCAGAAAGAAATTTTGAAAAAGGGATACCAGACATGTAAAACAGAACCAGGCCTCTTCTACAAATTCATAAAAAAAAAATTGCAGGTAAAGGATAATATCCAGAGGTTGAAAATGGGAAACAGATTCAAGGAAAATGAAAAGGAAATGTGTGAAACATTAAACTAAAAGTTCCAAAGTGTGTTTGTACAAAATGAAATCTTCAGAGAACCAGACACAATAAGAATTCCAGAGAACAACATAGAGCACATAGAGGTGTCTAGAGATGAAGTGGAAAATATGCTCAAGGAGCTAAGTAAGAACAAAACAGTTGGCCCAGAGGGAGCTCCATCATGGGTTCTGAGAGAATGTGCATCTGAGCTCAGCAATCCACTTCACCTGATTTTTCAGGCATCCCTGTGTACAGAGTCATAGCAGATGCGTGGAAAAAGGCCAACATATTTCCAATCTACAAAAGTGGCGGCAGGGAAGACCCCCCTCAATTATTGACCTATATCGTTAACAAGTGTAATAGTCAAAATATTGAAAAAAATAATTAAAGCTAAATGAGTAGAACACCTGGAGACAAACGATATAATATCAGATCGTCAGTATGGTTTTCGATCTGGAAGATCGTGTGTAACAAATATACTCAGTTTCTATGATTGAGCCACAGAGATTTTACAGGAAAGAGATGGTTGATTTGACTGCATCTATCTGGGCCTAAAAAAAAGGCTTTCAACAGAATTCCACATAAGATGTTGTTCTGGAAACTTGATCACATTGGAGGGATGACAGGTAAGCTGCTAACATGTATGAGAAATTTTGTGGCTGATAGAAAAATGAGGGCAGTAATAAGAGGAAGTGTATCGGACTGGAGAAAAGTCACAAGCGGAGTACCACAGTGTTCAGTTTTTGCGTCGGTAATGTTCATTGTCTACTTAAACGATCTACCAGATGGAATACAGAATTATATGAACATGTTTGCTGATGATGCTAAGATAATAGGGAAGATAAGAACCTTAGAAGATTGTCATGCCCTTCAAGAAGACCTGGACAGAATAAGTATATGGAGCACCACTTGGCAAATGAAATTTAATGTAAAGAAATGCCATGTTATGGAATGTGGAATAGGAGAACATAGACCCCACACAACCTATAAATTATGTGAGAAATCTATAAAGACTACTGATAAAGAAAGAGATCTAGGGGGTAATTCTAGATAGAAAACTATCACCTGAGGATCATATTACGAACATTGTGAGAGGGGCCTACCTTGAGGTTACCTTGTGGTGATTTCGGGGCTTAGCAACTCCGCGGCCCGGTCTTCGATCAGGCCTCCTCGTTCCTGGACTGGTCAACCAGGCTACCTGCTAGATACCTGCTTGATGGGGTTCTGGAAGTTCTTCTACTTCCCAAGCCCGGCCTGAGGCCAGGCTTGACTTGTGAGTTTGGTCCACCAGGCTGTTGCTTGGAGCGGCCCACAAGCCCACATACCCACATCCAGAGGTTCTGGACCGGTTGGTCCAGAACTTCTTTTAGAAAATAGTCTAGTTTTCTCTTGAAGATGTCCATGGTTGTTACAGCAATATTTCTTATAGTCGCTGGGAGGACGTTGAACAACCGCGAACCTCTGATGTTTATACAGTGCTCTCCGATTGTGCTTATGGCACCTCTGCTCTTCACTGGTTCTATCCTGCATTTTCTTCCATATCATTAACTCCAGTATGCTGTTATTTTACTGTGTAGATTAAAGACTTGACCCTCCAGTATTTTCCACGTGTTTATTATTTGGTATCTCTCTCGTCTCCTTTCTAGTGAGTACATTTGGAGATCTTTGAGACGATCCCAATAATTTAGGTGCTTTATCACATCTATGTTCTCTGTATTCCCTCTATTTCAGCAATCTCTCATGCTCTGAAGGGGGAAGTGAGTACTGATCAGTACTCGAGACGGGACAACACAAGTGACTTGAAGAGTACAACCATTGTGATGGCATCCCTGGATTTGAAAGTTCTCGTAATCCATCCTATCATTTTTCTGGCCGACGCAATATTTGCTTGGTTATGCTCCTTAAACGTTAGATCGTCGGACATCATTATTACCAAATCCTTGACATGCTGTTTTCCTACTATGGGCAGATTCGATTGTGTTTTGTACCCTGTATTATGTTTCAGATCCTCATTTTTGCCATACCTGAGTACCTGGAATTTATCACTGTTAAACATGTTATTTTCTGCTGCCCAATCAAAAACTTTGTTGATATCTGCTTGTAATTTAAGGCTGTTGGACACGGCTGCTCGCCGCCTGACGTATGAGTCACAGACTGGATGATCAGGTATCCTTTGGAGGTGTTTGTCAAGTTCTCTCTTGTACACTGTGAGGGGTCAGCCAGTTATCCCCCTTATGTGTAGTGGAAGCGTGTTGAACAGTTTCGGGCCTCTAATGTTGATAGAGTTCTCTCTCAGAGTACCTGTTGCACCTCTGCTTTTCAACGGGGGGTATTCTGCACATCCTGCCATGACTTCTGGTCTCATGTGATGTTATTTCTGTGTGCAGGTTTGGGACCAGCCCCTCTAATATTTCCCATGTGTAAATTATTATGTATCTCTCCCGCCTGCGCTCAAGATAATACAGATTTAGACTCTTTAGTCGGTCCCAATAGTTTAGATGTTTTACCAAGCGGATTCTAGCAGTAAAGGATCTCTGAACGCTCTCTAGGTCAGCAATTTCTCTAACTTTGAAAGGGGCTGTCATTGTGCAGCAGTACTCCACTCTAGAGAGCACAAGCGTCTTGAAAGGATCATCATCGGTATAGCATCTCTAGTGTGAAAAGTTCTTGTTATCAAACCTGTCATTTTTCTTGCAGCTGTAACGGCTACTTTATTGTATTCTTTAAATGTAAGGTCTTCTGACGTGAGTACACCCAGATCCTTTACATTGCCTTTTCGTTCTATGTTATGATTTGACTGTGTTTTGTATGTGGTTTCCGTTTTTATATTTTCATTTTTTCCGTGGCGCATGAGCTGGAACTTATCTTCGTTATACACCATATTATTTTCTGTAGCCCATAGAAAGACCTGATTTACGTCTGATTCGAGGTTTGCCGTGTCCTTTATGTTGCCTACTCTCATGAAAATCCTAGTGTCATCTGCAAAGGATGATACAGTACTATAGGTTGTGTCCTTGTATATGTCCGATATGAGGATGAGAAAAAGTACTGGAGCAAGTACAGTACCCTGGGGGACTGAGCTCTTCACAGTTGATGGACTGGATTTGATTTTGTTGACTATTACACATTGGGTTCTATTAGTCAGGAAATTGTAGATCCATCTGCCTATTTTTCCGGTTATTCCTTTTGAACGCATTTCATGCTCAATAACACCATGGTCACATTTGTCGAAGACTTTTACGAAATCTGTGTAAATTACATCAGCGTTTTGTCTGTCTTCCATAGCATCTAGTGCCATGTCATAGTGGTCCAGCAACTGTGACGGGCAAGAGCACCCTGTTCAGAAACCATGTTGTCCGGGGTTATGGAGATGCTGTGATTCCATGTATTTTGATCTTACTTCTTAGCACTCTCTCAAAGATTTTTATGATGTGTGATGGTAGTGCAATTGGTCTGAAATTTTTTGCCTCTGCCTTATTTCCTTCTTTATGTCAGGAATAACGCCAGTATCTAGGCTTTGTCTCAAAAGAATGTGAAGAGCCTGCGATAGTGGATTTTTACAGTTCTTGATGAATATAGAGTTCCAAGAATCAAGGCCTGGTGCAAAGTGCATAGGCATACTGTCTATGACTTCTTCAAAATCCAGTGGGGACAGGGTGACATCTAATATATGATTTGATGTTATCATCATATCCAAGACAAATTCATTTGGGTTATCACTTTAGTGTGTTTAGTACCTATGCTACACTTTTTAACTTCAGAATTGATTTTAAATACATAGCTGGCAAAATACTAAAGAAATTGTTTACGACTTTTGTTAGACCAAAGCTGGAATATGCAGTGGTTGTATGGTGCCCATATCTTAAGAAGCACATCAACAAACTGGAAAAGGTGCAAAGACATGCCGCTAAGTGGCTCCCAGAACTGAAGGACAAGGGCTACGAAGAGAGGTTAGAGGCATTAACTATGACAAAACTAGAGGACAAGAAAAAGGGGAGATATGATCACTACATACAAAATAATAACAGGAATTGATAAAATTGATAGGGAAGATTTCCTGAGACCTGGAACTTCAAGAACAAAAGGTCATAGATTTAAACTAACTAAGAACAGATGCTGAAGAAATATAAGAAAATTCACTTTCGCAAACAGAGTGGTAGACAGTTGGAACAAGTTAGGGGAGAAGATGGTGGAGGCCAAGACCGTCAGTAGTTTCAAAGTGTTATA